CCCCAGACTCCCTTTCTCACAGTCTGCGCATTTCGGAGCGCCGTAAAACATCATTTCTTGGGAAATTCATATCTTGATTGTCTCGTTGGTTTTTCCTGTGACCGAGTAGACAGAAACAGCTTTCCGACTGGAAACTGAACGATTCAATAAAAAATAAAAGCAACGTCACATAACGGTAGTTACAAAATGGAAAAATAAAATGTGCAGGAATAGTTTTTCCTAGAGGGATTTTCAATATGTTTTCATTATCCCCGTTCGTAGAAATTGAAATTTCACGCCACCTCGTTTTTGTCAGATTTGTTACTATTATAATGATGATAATCGTGGAAGCAAACCAATGTACTACATTTGTTACAGGAGCAATCGAGTAAAAGTTGTTCCTTGTTAGTTGTATGGGCGGTGGGAAAAAGTCGAACCGTGCTTAGTGTGCAATGAAGGGCATCAACTCATGCATGAAGGAGCGTCCAGAAAAAAAGGACACTAGCTAACTCGCCCAAGAATTTATTCACTCGGATTCGTTCGTCTCATTTTGTCGTTTGATAGGTACATATTCAGCTATTAATTTTACGTTCCCATCCGTCCACACTCTCCCGATTCCACCAAATTTCATCTCAAATTAACGCTTACGAAATTGATGCATGCCCTGTCTTTCACGTTTACTCACAAACAAAGTGAGGGCAATAATTGAACTTTGTCTTAACCTTGGATTACGAAATATCCAGATGTCTGCAAATAGTTTCACCCCGTTGAATATGTTCTGTAGCGGTTAGACTGTATGATATTTTGATGTAAACGTAAGCCTCAGTGCTTGCAAAATTTATGCACATTACAATACACTGCAATACGGATGTGATACGAAGGATGTGTTCGTGAATGCTCAAGCAATCTTTATCCACAAGTCGACGAATGCTGTAATTGGTATTGCTCAAAACTGGATAGAGCTATATAACGAAGGTACTCATCTCAGCTGCGGCAGAGCCTCAATGAAAAATTCTTTTCAGCAGCAATCAGTCGCGACTGATAGGTGGGGATATCCAGGATTTCACTGCATTAAATTTGTGAAACCGCTGTACTCAGCAGACTTCGTCTAATTTGAGTTAGAAACATTTCTTAGCTTTGATTGTTAATTTATTTACGTGGTTATTGTGTCAATCAGCGAATGTCCATGCCGATGGAACTAACATTGTAACACTACAATTAAAAAGGAAATGAAAAAGCTTTGCCATATACAGATAACCCTACAAAGTTCTTTATACTGTATGCAATGCTTCCATGCAAGGACCGTGCTGAAACGTGGATACTCCAAAATAACGATTAATCTTACTTACAAGGTGTTTTGAAATTTTTAAAACCAGTACACTCTTTTGAGTGATGAAAGTATGTTTTCAAAATTATTGCTGATGATTGAGCAATCCTAATCGCCAAGACGTTTTGTGATATGAAACGCTGGGAGGTGGGATGCAGACGCAGTGTGGAAAAAGTGATAAATAATTTCCATTCAATATAAACTGGGGTTGCCTTTTACAGAGAGAAGATCAATCATCTGTAATTTTATTGTCTGGACGTTAATGGACCAAACATTTTCATAGAACATCCAAATTATTTCATTTTAATCAACTTTGAACAGATTTGAAGTGTGGTTTTTCATTCATACTTCGTTGAGTATGCTGGACAGCATAGCATTATGATAAAGAGCAAATTAATAGAATTTGAGTGTTACACGCGTGGCTTTTATACGACATCTTATTTTGAAGAAAGGTTCATCGTTACAACAAGACAGTAACAGCTGCAAATATGACCTTACAATAAATAGAATAGAACCAATTTAAGAAGGATCATCCTTTAGGTTTGCAATTCTTTTATGGTAAAATGTTTTCTTGTTTACCGTTGTGTCGACCAAACGGTGTTTTCCGCATTCCTAGTGTTGGCTAGTGTGTCATCCATGGAGTGTCGGTATAAGACTGTGCTTGACTTCATGGTTAGCTTTATTTTCCAGATGAACCATAAATCTATTGAACGTAATTAGACTCAGTGGGCTACCCATCGGCACGTCATAAACTTTTCGGTAAATGTAACCAAAGAGGGTTAAGAGCGAATTAAATTTGCACAGCAGGAACCGTCGTTTTAGAATCGATGCCGATATTCCCAGTTTAATTTTCTTCTGCTCTATACGGTAGTACATCATTTGAATGGTTTCCTCACGTGGAACAATGGTAAACAGAGAGATCACACTGAATAAAGCCATACGGGATTTCTGGTGCTCAACTTGTGTCGCATAACAGCCAGTTGGAAACTATTGGCACACCGGTATTTGAAAGTCGACTTTTGGATGGATTTCAGTAATCAAATAATCCCATTAACCAAACTACGTTGAAGTGAATTTTGCATCAATGGGATTTGTGGTGTTGGTGTGTGCGTGCGTTATTTTCTGTTCCGGCCAACCTTTCGTCTCAGGTAGCTGAAATTCCACTGGTTCGATTTTCTTCGCGATGGCTTTAGAAGTGAAATGACCGTTTAAGAGAAACTGAATCTCTTGTGGTTACAATTTACGTCAACTACCAGTATCATTGCTCTCTAACTTGAACTTGGTTTCGTCGCATGTGTTGTATCCCGTATAAGTCAATGAGTACACAAGCAGTAAATTAAGTAGTTATTCTAGTTTACCGAACCCACTTCGAAAAATGGTGAATGCATCTTAGACGAATCAAATGTTGGCCCAGTGTCTCATCGCATGAGCATTTTCCACTGCGGATTTCCCATATGGCGCACAGCTCCACAACTGATGCTCTACCAACATTTAGGCATCATCGGATTCGGAACCCATCCTCCTCCTGTGCCGGTCCGAAAATCCCACGACCGATCGGGTTCACTTATCGATCGAACGGATGGTTCAGCCGGAAAAATGGACCTGGTGCTTGCCCAAATAACCCGAGCGAGAAACCACACCTTTTTTACAGCCGTGAGTCTTAGGCAGGCCCAGTGAACTTCGATTGTGCAGCAGGACTGCCATCAGCACGCGGATGGACTGGACATGACAACCAAAGCATTACAAAACGTACAAGCCGGTAGTCAGACAGTTTCGTGTTGGGGTGAGGGATTTCAAGAGCCACAGACCGCGGAATATGATCCAGTCAGATCACAGAAAGAGTCAGAGGGAATTTACTTGTTTAAAATCACGGGTGAGAGGGAGGAGATGATGTGAAACGATGGAGCAATCGCATTGTATGTAAGTCTATATGCACCAATGTTGAGCGTCAATACACAAGAAACTTATGTGATAATCGGGAGTTGAATTGTACATGTGATACATAGGGGTTGAAACAAGTATTAGATCGGAATAAAAATCCATTTTTATTCCATTTACAATATTTACAACACGAAATTGTATTAGTCCTATGTGTGGCTCATATCACAACGGGATATATTCAATAAACTATTTTAATCGTTGCAAGAAAATGGGGCAGAAGTAGTTTAACAGATGATGGAGTACACCTGACCTGATCATTTGAAGCATGAATCCGAAGCTGCTTACCGTTAGCAAAGTCATGTCGATAAAATATTTTTTACGCACGAGCAATCACTCAAAACTATCTGGCTATTTCTTGCATTAGGCCGAAAATTCTAAATTTTCTTTCTGCAACTTGTCTCAACTAATGCAACATACATTTCGCAGTTAAACATTTAAAATAAATTAGGAGAGTGGGACATGAATAAAGAGGCTTTTCAGAGCACGTTGGTGTAGAGCATCATTCAGAGATACACAACGTAGTATGTTGAATGAAAGCCCTAGTTTTGAAGTTCACCGATAAATATAGATCAGTGATGAGCCATTCATGCCGATGGATTAGTTTAGGCAGTAATTTATTTGGGTACCCTTCATATTATCGTTATTATTATTATTATGAGTATTATTATTTAAGATCCCAAGAGCTGTAGGAGACCAAGTCAGCTTTATGGATCAAAATACGGTGCATCTAGAGAATGCAAACACCACTCAGTCATTATCTTGAAGGAAGCGCCGACGGCCCATGCACAGCCAAGTATCATGGGGGATACCAGTCGACAGACGAGATTCAGTCTAAGAACATAGTGGATTGAATCAGAAGTTTCACAGGAGGAAATTTTGGGGTGTAAGAGAACTATTTTAGACTCAAATTATTCTCACGTTGTCTAACGCATTATTTGATTAGAACATCTTAAAGAGAATGCATTTTTCTGTTCTTAATTTTTCTCCCTAGCCTGGTTTTAACAAGGCTGAACGAGTTCGAGTGATTCCATGGTTTTTCAGCATAGCGGACTGTTTCGAGCTAGCCATTTGACTCTTGAGCTATTAGTAAATACAAGGCCCGCAATGATTTACTAACTGAGTGTAAGCACTAAGCTATCTGAATTATATATAATCGCGTGCGTCAATCTCCAGCAGCAAGTATGATTGGTTTGCTTGGCAATGTGCAAAAGTTTAGTTTGTTGTGGCAGAACAGTTCCGCAGCACATTTTAGAAGATTGCATACAATGAATGACTTGACTTGTAACGAAAATGAATAATAATCAACGCAATTTACTTGAAATATCCATCTTGCAGAAACAGAGGAAGGAGTAACAACACTGTAGCGCTGCAAATGGCCAAAGTTGGAATCACGTTTAGAACGCTATCGTGTTCACACAAAAATGTGTATAACTGAGTCTATTATTGGAAATTTTCTCACCATATTGTATTTTGCATTCAGAAAAGTATCCTAAAAGTATACCTGATAGTCCTTCTTTTCTCATCCAATTAGGCCAAAGTAAACAAATGCTGTAGGTGGCATGTGAAATGGTTGGGTGGTCCAGTTCCCAGTCTGAAGAAAGACCAATCAAATTGCAGTTTCAAGGTCAAATACGCCACTTAATCGCTTTCGTGACCAACCACGTTTCTATCAGCTGTGAAATTTACCTTGAGCTAATCCAGATGGAATATTAGCATTGTGTTGGTTCTGAGACCCACAACTATCAAAACCATAATGTGCCTTCAGAAATTTGGATTGTTTACAGGTGCCATCTTGACAATAGGGATTACTGTGATGATAATAGTGGGAAACACTCTGGTTGTACTTTCAGTAGCCATGCATCCACCACTACGGCAAGTGCAAAATAGTCTACTGATCTCACTGGCTGTGACCGATCTGGCTGTCGGATTATTTGTTGTTCCTCCGAACATCGTGACAAATATGTACACTGGTCGATGGATTTTTGGTCAAACGTTGTGTACTGTACATGTTGCTAGTGATATTTTTTTCAGTACGGCGTCCATCTTACATTTGTGTGCCATCGCTGTGGACCGGTATTTGTTACTCCGGTATCCGACTTATTACTTGAGCCGAAGAACAATCACTGGTTTTCTCTTCATGATTACGTTAGTCTATCTTTTGAGCGCTGTTATTGTGGTCCCACCAATATTTGGCTGGGCAGCACCCAGGTATCTGGTCGCAACTAACGTGACTGATGGTGGATCATACTGTGTGATGAACAGTGAGATTGTATATGTCATATACTCCTCCGTAGGCTCGTTTTATTTGCCCGCCATTTTCATTTTGATCCTGCATTTGAAGCTATTTCGTCTCGTGCGAACTCGACTGAAAATCAAGCGAAAAAGCGCACTGAACGCAGCGGCTCGCTCACGTCTCAATGCTGAGGCTGGTGTGTCCGGTTTCGAGGGTCCTGTGTCACGAAAACCCAATGAACTAGCGCATAGTCAATTGGTGTTCGACGAGCATCAATCCATAAACAAATGTTTTATTTTGCCGTCAAAAGATCACAACTGGCTTCTGTGTCCGGCTTGTGGGAAGTCACTGTATTGCTCGATAAACCAAAGCAGTTCATATTTGTACCCAAACCCACCTTTCGGGGGACTCAATGCACCAAATGGATGTCATCGCTCAACTAATTTTGATGTGGTTCACCTGATTAGATATTCCTCGAACAAATCTATTCCGGTTGGTTCATCTTCATTCAACCGGTACAGCGTGGAAAAGGGGAGAACTGATTTTCCCACAATGCAAAAGAATGCTGCATCATCCAAGCAAACTTCGAATCTTATCCTTCAAATAAAAGATTCAACTTCATCGACACAATCTCAGTGGTTACATGCAAACCTAGCCACTCAGGTCCACTGGCACATGATTCAAAGATTTCCTCGATCGCACAGTGAAATTTGTCTACCAGATCATCACTCAATGTGCCCCATTACAGACTCACGATTCGGGGCGTTTGGTTTATCATCTCGAGCTGAAATGACACATACCATCAGTGACCTTTTCAAATGCGAATTTTCGGAACGAAACAATGAGGAAAACTTGTGTAACGAAAGCGTAACCAGCAAAGGAAACCGAGCTATTGGTTTGTCACAAACGACCTCATTGGGAACGGCGGCCAAGCTACGTGAACAAATATCTATGAATCAAGAGCGTCGAGCAGCGCGTACACTGTCCATCATTGTGGGCGCATTTATTTTGTGCTGGCTGCCGTTCTTTGTCATGTACGTACTCACTGCGATTTGTCGAGAACAGTGTGCTCCTGCCTGGAATGTGCAACAGCTAATCACTTGGTTAGGCTACTCAAACAGTGCGATAAACCCGATTGTCTATACGACGTTCAATCATGATTTTCAAACGGCATTACACAGACTAACGCGTTATAGGAAATAATTAACAGAAACATAGTAAACAATCGCCCGATCATCATTGGACTCTGTTAATATTCGGACTGATAAAATTGATCGTTGAAATGTTTCGTGTTGGTTTATACTTGTGGTTCATTTGTATCGTTCAGCACTTATATCATGCCGGCGTATGCTGAGGAGGATGAGATAGTAATACTTTTGACCGAAATCTAATCACTGGAAGTCTGTGCAAAAATGAGTGAGTTCCGTAGCCGGCCTGCAGAGAGAGCCGGTGCCTCGTTGTGTATAGAAGAAATGAAACACCCTGGTCATCTACCCGCNGATCACGTGAGCACTGCGCCTGAGTTCAACCTCTGAGATAACGGGAGGGGGGGGTTGATCTTCAGTGGAGTCAAAAAATCGGTATTGCTCATGTTACCCAACAATATAGTAAGTGTTCATAGTTACTTCCAGCTTTTCAAAGAAAAATTTCAGTCGTCACTTAATTACTCTAAAACGCATATAATTCTTCTTTCAGACTTTTCTTGCGGCGAAAAGGTTTATTTTTGCGGAATAACACGAATGATGAGAAGATTTCGCTTTTCTCTGTTTCTCCTTGGAGCATCAATTGTCTTGGTTGTCACTTCCGTGCATAACAGCCTATGTTTTCTAGCGAATTATGATTAGTGCAGCTATTCCGATAATTTAGGAGTACGCTTACCACTCCAACAAAGGACGACACACGACGAGATGTTTGGTTTTGAGGTTTGATGAGGTTCTCAGTAAATTCGGCTTATCTTGATCCACCGATGTGTTCTTTTCATCAATCAATTGTTTATAAGCTGCAAGCGCAAAGATTCGTTGAAAGAAACGAGTTGTTTTTGGTACTACTACTCTCGCTGACTGCTACATCTTTACTAACAAGACACAGTCTCTTTACTAATCTGATCTACCACCTTATCCTAAGTCATTTCACTAAAACGGATTCATGTTCCTTAGATGTAGATTACCTTCTCAGTTTTAGTAAAATTGGAGCATCTGAGAGTGAATCACAACCCGGTGGGGTAATCTGTGAAGGACTAAACAGAATTCCACACGTGGTTAAGGTACTTCGGTAAAAGGGCTTCGAAATCCCCGAAGAAGAATCCCTAATGGGTTTAGTGGATGCATGATTGCTAATTCTTGACAAGGGGGATCGCGGAACTTGAGAAACGTTGACTTTGCACAGTTATTGCAATTCTATAAAAAAATGGACTGCTTAAATTCACTTGCTTCTCCCAATACCCTGCTATCTTTTCCATTCAAGGCATTTTCAGAATCAATGCCGGGACTTTCCAGATGCAAAAAAAGAATCACATGATCACGTTCATAAGAGCTCAGGTTAGATTTGAAACCAAGTACCAACGTATGAGCTCTGAGTTGTGATCTCACTATTTTCCAGATGCGTTGACATGTAAGAAACTCAATTTCTCGGATAACACTGATCTAAACTGCTCTTGTGATATTGTGTCTAAAGACCAACATTTGGACAACAATACGCGTAGATCGGTTCTTCCTCAGCAGTTCACGGGATGCACCCTTGGAGTGATGGAATACCGTTAAATCATTGAAGCTTTCTGGTCGTTGGCTACTTACTTTGAGAACACGTTTGATGCGCAATACTGGACCGTGGAGCAGAAATAGAGTTCAAATGAAGGAAGGATCGAGAGTAAGCAAAATATCTGACTTCACTTGGACGTCAATCCAAAATGTGCCATGGTTGCATAATAGAGTGCGTTTAGAGTCATTACTAGACTGGACCTAACAATCACAATCACATGAATGGTGGTGTTTTGTGGCACATATTTGTCCCTGTTTTTGAGCATTGTCTCACGCTATTAAGCAAAGTATTATTTGAAGCGAAGCTCTGTTATTTGAGCCAAATTGAACTGAAAAACTTGTCTGATTTGATCAAAACAATAACGGGATGAATTGTGGTAATAATGAATACGTCGATTGTGGAGACTTTTGATCAAATTACGAGCTGATCCCTCGACGTGTGCACAATTGAGTAAAGAATTTATTAAACGAAATTAACTCTTGGTTGCTACAGATGTGTCGTGGATTACTGTGAAAAAAGTGGATTTCAGTAGATTTCCATTGAAGAAGGAGGGCGATGAAAACTAATGAACCGAGTGACCAGAAAACGAAAGCAAGTGGAAGGAGCAAATTAGGATACGGAATGGTACGGGTTACGCAAAATTAGTTGTCACTGTGCTTTGGCATGGAAGGGGTTATTGAGAACACATGTGTAGATTGTGGAGAAAAAATAGCGTCCGGTAACCCACAGTAATTGTCCGAGTTTCACCATATAAACGGTCAAACTTCAAAGGTATTTAGAGGATAATCCTACTCAAACAGATTGGTGTCAAATAATGTTCACTGGGTATCTGGTGCTAGGATGCACTGAAAATAAGCACACAACTTTGCCTCTCTCATTGAATCCTCACTCTACTAATTACCGACTAACATGTGGGTATCTAAAAGGTCGTATCTGCAAGACCATTAGCAGTTCAAGCTGTGGGTGGCATACAGCTAAATGTATTCAACAGTTTATTTCTTTTATCGTTAAATCATCCACAGACTATGGATACGTCAGAATTGAAATAAACTCTTGGTCTGCTTATTAAATAATGGACTATTTTCGGTAAAAGTCCCCAGGTTATTAGTCAGAGGATAGTGTATGCGTTGACACGGTTACCCGCTGGACAATAATCAGATGAGAGGACCAGTAGGAAATCTAAAAGATGAATAAGTGCTAAATAACATTCAATTCTTTGACGGTGTGCAATGCGGATATATGCAATGAAATTTGTGGGCAGCGTTCTCGATCAAGCATATAAATTTGTGCGTGAATCATCTGATCAACTGTTTACATCGTTCAAAGTTTTCTTTTCATAATCGATTCAACAAAATCTCAAGGGTACATTTTACTCATCTGATACAAATTGAACAAACCTGCTTTGAAATACAGGCGTATGAATTAATCAGACATAATAAGCTGGGTTTGTATCAGAAACATAACCGCGTAACTGTTGATTATTCTGTGAATGCTATCTTCTCATATTAGTTTCAGATTGACAGTTATCTTTTGATAGTAAAACACGTACCTGTTTCACGATCAGACGATTCCCAACGAACAACGGACTTTAATGAGTATACTGATCACTGATCAATGCCCATATGTTCAGTTTAATGCTAGGGTTAAGCGTAGTTCTGCATTGATTTTATATTCACATATCACGTTACGTTATCCATCATTGACTAGCAGAACTGAATAGAAAGCTAGACTGCTTACGAATGTCTAACTCTTTTGGTTTTTGATCCGTCGGCAAAACAGTTTAACCCAAAGGGATCGCAAATGCACTTGATCGTTCTATCCAAGTCTGAAAAACTTGTTTCTCCGCGTACTTCCACCTGCCTCAGAGCAAAGCCAAGTTTGCAGGCTTTTGGCCGAACTATTCACAATATCCTTGTTACACCTTCTTTCAGTCAGTCAACCTGAGGGTGAGAAGAAAATTTATTTTGGCCTAATCAGCGAATTCAAGGTTGCTGATAACAACCCGAAATTATTCATCTGCTACCGTAATTTCCGCATATGTGTAAAGAAATTCCACCAAATTAGACCAGTTGCGTAGAATCATCGTAGGAGCTATCTTAGGTATCGATAATAATTTAGCTTTCAAGACTCCATGCACGTAGACTCATGGCCTGAGATAACTCTTCAGGTCGCATTTGCCCACTAGGTGGATGGCAATCAAGATTCATCGGTGTACGAAAATATAAAATCTAGCTGTTGCCGATGGTGCNCGATGGTGCAATAATTTAAAAGGACGGCATCAATAGTGAGCCCATGCGTGTGTGAAGGGAATAATACCACTCAATCCGGTTTGATAAACACTAAATGATTCTGACTCACTTGTTGCGCGAAGGTTTACTAATTTTCTTCTCTCTCAAACTGATACTTCCTTTTTTCAATTTGCTTCTCTTCAGAGACTTTACATATGTACAAGAAAACAAGGCTACATTGTCAGGAAGTCAGAGTGCAAAGAAAGATAAGGAAGCAACATTAGAAACGTACTATGTGTGATACCAAATACCGAAAGTACTCAATCTAAGCTTCACGGTGACACAATCGAGCGCATAAGCTTTCTTCATTTTGTCTGTAATGGGAACCACGGACCAGATCGGGGACAAAAGGTTTTTCTTGACGGTCTAAACGCTACAGGATACATGTTAAATTTCAAGATTTACACACAGATGACAACCACAATTAGACAGATAAATAGGTAAGGATTTCATAAGATGCGTAAAAATCTTCTGAACGAAAATTTTGCAAGACATTAATTACATGTTAACTGGTGAACAGCATAAGATAAAAGTACAAATAAACTGAAGAAACATTACAATTAAGTTCAATAAATGCAGTTTGTTAACTAGATGATATAATGCATATAGTATCTTTTTAGTAATCATTACGAGTGAGCGCCCCGCAGGAACCGTGGTAATAGAATATTCACCTACCATGGAGGTAAATAACCGCTAGAAATGACTGTTTACGGATTGGGAAAAGATATAATTAGGCGAATCTGAAGAAACATCACTTTAATTTTCAAACAACAATGATATCAATATGTTTCGTGTTCATTAAGAAGTGTTTTCAACCGGTTATTAAAATTTTATCTCAATTCGAGCCTTGGCAAATCGTGCGAAAGCTTTCAAACAAAAGAAACTATGTTTTGCAGTGCTGGCAAAAAAGAAATTCTGTGTACAAAAATGTAACTCAACTAGCAAGTGAACTATGGAATTCAGCATGCATGTTCACATTCTGTCAATCCGAATCCCAGCGAGATACGTCGCGTACGCATGGCAGATGGAAGAACGCACTAAATAGACCAAGTAGGGGAATGAGATTTGCATGCAAACACATCAACGTGTTTTGGAGATGAACAGATTTAAAAAAATCTGCGAATTTCCCGTAAGCATCACATGTTAGTTATCAGAAAA